CTGATGGCAGCAGCACAGCTGATATTTCTCTCCGTTTTGGAAGGAGATCAGACCGAGAATCTGTACAGAGAGACCAGCAGAGGCTGCCGTATGACGGTACCAGCTTTTAAGCTAAAGGAGCCAATGATAATTGATATAATGGTCCTTTTAAGACTAAATTAAAACGGCGTTTTTAAAGGCCATCTACAAATCTCTTAAGATTATTCCCCACTTCATCCTATATCAACATTATGTTTTCTATCTTCTGTTTTGTTTAAAGTTTAAACAAATTCTTCTTCAACAAACGTCACAGTCAGATCTGGTCCGTCATTGTTTGTTTAAAAAAACAAGACAAAAAAGCTCAGATTTTTCCATCCCAGCAACCAATACAAAGCACACTTTGCAATCGTGCCCATAAGAAGCGCATCCATTTGCATTGCAGCGCTCCAGAATGCACCTCTACATAGGGATAACATATAAATTGATTGCTTCGGGCACTAGAATAGCGTTTGGTTTGAACGAACAATAAGATGTCGTTAAAAGGCTGCAGTCAGGCTGTCAGCTTCAATTTAAACATGAATGTTAAAAGCTCTCACTATAATGACCCTGTCAATATTTAATACTAACTCAATATTTCTCAGTTAATTGATTAATTTAAAAATATATACTTTGATTAAATTAACTTTCTAGATAAACAAACATATGGAACTTCAAAAGTCAATTGGAAAAAGCTTTTTGCACATTTAATGACAGAAACTTAAAAAATATATCTAGTGATGGTCACATAATTAGACCGTGTGACCGTCTAGTGGTTAGAGCAGCGGGCTTGAGCTCTGAGAAGGTTGCAAGTACCCAGTTCAATCCCCACAGCCTGTCCTCTGGGTCCCTGAACAAGACCCTTTAGCCCACACTGCTCCCTGGGTGCTGCACAATGGCAGCCTACTGCTGAATAAGTGTATAGGTATATTGCTCCAGTGTGAGATTATTAAAGTTCAATCATATTATGATTGATATATCTATTATAAGTAATTCAATTCAAAAACATGAACCATGTATATTATATTTAATCATTACACACAGACTGATATTTGCCAAGAGTTCATTGCATGTAGATTTATAACTCACAACTAACCTTGGTATTTTGTTTTAAACATCCTTAAATGTTCCTTTTGTCTGTCAGAGGAGTGAAAAGCTAAAAACATCTCTGAAAAACCTCTTGATTGAATTCTTGTTTTTGCAGTTTTTGAAGTATGAATGTTTGATTTTGATTTATTTCTGCTGTCCCTTAAATGTAAAAAAACAAAGGGCAGTAATTTAACTGTTATTTTCATTAATTAGATCCTCTGTGGTAGAACTACAACTATTGGATCATTGAGGATGGATCATAGATGTTGCTTAGAAGCACAACATGAAGCTGAATGTTTTCAGTGAGACTGTCGAACCTCAAATGCATCAGATTTGAGAGTTACCTGTTTTACCTATTTCACACTTTCTTCTCAAATGTTTATGCTTAATAAATAGCTATCGATATCATCCCTCCCTCCACACCGAGAAAATGAGCTTCCTTGCTTCGGAGTCCAACAGACAGAAGATGTTCTGACACTTTCACAATGCCAACTTTTCTGAGACACTCAGAATAACCAAAAATAGATCCAGATTGATTTTAAAAGCATATTGTGAATTTGCTCTCCAGAAGTTCCTTTAGAAATCTATGAATATAAGATCAGATTCATCTGCATCTGCCTGATTTCACTTCTCATAACTGATGATGTATCTGGGAAAGTTTTATGTAGTTTACCTGTTAGTAGTGCAATCTGTTCAGAAATCTTAACTATATGAGGAAATGTCTAGATTTCAGTGAGCATTAGAATATGCTTTAAAGGTTTTTATCGAGGCCCTGAAGTGCAAACCATAGCTAATAATAAAAAGCATTGAATAATAATAATGACGGTCATATATTCAACCACATTAAAGTTT